GAGAGGATCCGCGAGGCCGAGCGCTTTTCCCTCACGGCTCCGGCATGTTGCCAGCTGAAAGAAAGAAAACCCAGATGGCAAACTCCCCGCGGGGAGCCCCGCCAGAGCTCCCAGGGTTGCTGGGCTCCTGCGCGCACGCTGCTGCCTTGGGAAGTGATTTGTGCTTATTGCTGCCTGAAGGGGAAAAAGCCTTCCCCAGCTATACGCAGTCATCCTATAGGATTGCGCCAAATGAGAAGTAAAACTGGCAAAAGCAAGAAAAAGGATTGTTCATTTGCAATGATCTTGGGCTTACAAATTGATGATAGCAAATAAATTAATCTGGGTCACAGATACAAGTTGTTTTTGTTGTAAAGTTGGCTATATCCCATCTTTTTAGTGCCAAAAGTATGCAGAATCACGAGAAGAGCCAAATCGCCATTTTAGTTCTATATGTTGTACTGACTTCAGCAAAACCTCCTTGCAGCCCAGTGTGATTAGGGGAGGGAGAAGAGCCTGGATGTTACGTTTCCTTCCCGTCCCCGCTCCCGCTCCTCTCGTGCTCCCCGGCCCGCGGAGGCCGCCAGCCCCGCAGGGCCGCGCGTCGCCGCTCGCGGTTCCCTGCCGCGCGGAGCCGCTGTGCTCAGCCCTGCGGAGCCCGATGCCTTTGGCCTCCCGCTCCCTGCGGAGCCGCCGCTCCGTGGCCATTGGGGCAGGAGGGCAGCAGCTCCCGGGACTGCCCCTTTGGAGCAGCGCCCGTCCCGCTCGACGCCTCGCGGGCTGCAGGAGCAGTTCCCGGGAAGCCTTGGGAGCGTGTGGAACGCTCAGGGTGCCGCTGTGGAGCGGGTGCAGCGGCTCCGGGCTGAGATGCCTTCCTGTGGGTCAGCCGGGGGGCAGAGCCCTCCTTGTGTCTGCAGCCCTGGGCAGCATGAGCAAAGCGTGGCCACATTTGAAGCAGGCAGCGTACTGCAGGCAGTGGACAAGCCTGGTGGGAGGCAGGTGACTGGGTAGCAGCAGCCTAGTCCTTGCAGGAATGGGGATTTGGATCACTTTTTCTCAGTGGCTCAGCATTTTGTGTGTGTTTTTTTTTT